TCAAAAACAGGTAAAAGGACTCCTCGGTGCTGGAGATGTCGCTCTAAGGGGCACTATAAAAATCAGTGTACCCAGAAACAATATAACCATCAAAATAACTTTCCTCATGCAAAAGTTAAAAACATGAATAGCAACAAAGCTTTGTTTGCGGTTTTTAACATAAGTGAAAGACATATTTTACTAAATGTATGGTATATTGATAGTGGAGCTACTTCTCATATGACTGGTAATAGTGCATTGTTACCTGTGCTGTCTGACAAAAATAAAGGACAGGAAATTATAGTTCCTGACAATGCTAGGTTGTCTGTTGCCGGAACGGGAGATACAGTTGTCAAATTGCAGCAAAATGGCAGCGAAAGACGCATTTTAGATATAAAATATGTTCTTAACCTGGCTGTGAATTTATTAAGTGTTAATTCACTAATTTCAAAGGGTTTTAATGTATCTTTTGATTCGCATGGTTGCCGAATATTTAATTGCAAAGAATTCACCAACAGGGAAGAGTTGATAGCAACAGCAAGTAATGTGGATGGTTTGTACAGACTTGATACAATACCAGAAAGTGACATCTGTGCAAATACTGCAGAAGTCATAGAATTGCAAATGCTCTGGCACAAAAGGTTAGGTCATCTTAATCATTTTAGCATGAAGTTGTTAAAAGAAGGTTTGGCCTCAGGAATTAGCTATTGTGATACTCAACCTCCATCCTTGTGTGAAAGTTGCATTAAAGGTAAGCATTCGAAGAAACCGTAAAAGTAATGGGGTGGCTGCGAATAAATTAGACTTAATCCACTCAGATGTAATGGGACCTATAGAAATAAAGTCCTGAAGTGGTGCTAGATATATTTTTACACTAATTGACGATAACACAAGAAAAGTTTTCTGTTATTTTCGCAAAAGTAAAGATGAAGTTGCAGATTGCTTTAAAGAGTTTTGTGTTCGAGTCGAAAATTAAACAGAAAGAAAAATAAAAATATTACGGTAATGGTGGTGAATACTGCAATCAGAATTTGGACAAGTTTTTAAAACAAAAAGGTATAAAACATGAGCTGACAGTTCCTTATACACCAGAACAAAATGGTGTAGCCGAACGTTACAACCGCACAATAATGGATAAGGTGCGCTCAATGATGTTTGATACAAATTGTCCAAGCCAGATGTGGGCGGAGGAGGCGAACTAAAAGGATCAAGGGAGAAACTCCAGAGGAAAGATGAACAGGCAAGAAGGTCGATCTTGGTCACCTTAGAGTGTTTGGCTGTACAGCCTTTGTTCGTGACCCTGATGGAAAACGAGGGAAACTGGAACAGAAAAGCAAGAAATATATATTTGTTGGCTATTCTGATGTAACTGCAGGATATAGATTAATTGACCCCATTACTCACAAACTTCAAATTGCAAGAGATGTGATATTTTTGGAACAGAAAACTGTGAGTTTAGAACATCAAGCAAGTTCTCAGAACATCGACGTTATTACCATGCCACTGGAGGGTGCAGAAGTTGGAATGGACCATAAAAATGGTAATGTAGAACTTCTTCGGCAGACTAATGATGCGGAAAGTGATGTTTCAGAGAGCGAACGTTTTGAAGATGCAGAGAGAACTCTAGTTGACAAAGAAGACAGTTCTTCAGCAAGTTCCCCAGAAAAATTGGAGGAAAATGGTGTACCGTCTGATGACGGGACAGTTGCTGTGATTGGACAGACAGGTGCTATGGAACGGCGAATGAGGACCGAAGGTACCCAAAAAGAATCTCTCGTAAGTCGACGTTTTTTAACGAATATGTTTTGACCGACCCATCTGATTCAGATATCGATTTTGCTATGTTGTCTTTAAATGTAGAGTCAGAGCCAGATACTGTTTCTGGAGCATTGTTTGCACCAAATAAAGATCAATGGATTCTAGCTATCCAAAGGGAGCTTTAATGCTTTTAGACAGAATAATGCTTGGGAATTAGTTGACAGGCCTGCTAACACCAATATTGTTAGAAATAAGTGGGTGTTTAAAATCAAAAGAGATCAGAGCGGCCAAATTGCAACATATAGAGCTCGTTTGGTGGCAAAGGGGTTTATCAAAAATATGGAGTTGATTATACTGAAACCTTTTCCCCTGTTGCCCGTTTTTCTAGTTTGAGACTTTTGTTTGCAATGGCAGCTGAATTGAATCTTGAAGCTGATCATCTTGACGTTGAAACTGCATTCCTTAATGGTGACCTGAATGAAACAATATATATGTGCCAACCTGATGGCTTCGAGGAGCCTGGCTTAAAAAATAAAGTTGCTTGTTAAAGAAAGCTATTTATGGACTCAAGCAATCATCTCGTTTGTGGTATGAAAAAGCCAGTAGAGTTTTGCAAAAAGTAAACTTTGTGCAGTCTGAGATTGAACCCTATTTGTATTTTAAAGTTACAGATAACTCCATTGTCATCGTAGCTCTGTATGTTGACAATTTTTTCTTGTTCTATAATAATTTCGAAGAAATTAAAGTGCTAAAATCGGAATTGCATAAAAATTTTGAAATCAAAGACTTAAGTCAGGAGCAATATATAACTAAATTGCTTGAACGTTTTCAAATGACTAACTGTAGTACTGTGAGCACTCCTTTGGAGAAAAATAAAAAATTCTCTAATTCAGTTAATTGGTTCCATTATGTATCTGGCTGTTTGTACTCGACCAGATATTTGTTTTCCTGTGTCTTATCTGGGTCAATTTAATATAAATCACACCAAGGAACATTTGCTAGCAGCTAAAAGGATACTTAGGTATTTGAAAGGCACAAAAAATGTTGGTATTGTGTTTAGACAAAGCCGCACAGGTTTGTTAGGAGTTGTTGATTCTGATTGGGCCAACGATAGTCTAGATCGTAAGTCATACTATGGTTATGTATTTTGTTTAACCAGTGGCCCAATATAGTGGGAAAGCAGGAAACAAAAGACTTTAGCTCTCAGCTCAACAGAGGCAGAATATATAGGTATGTGTGAAGCTACAAAAGAGGCATTGTATTTAAAATCTTTGATTCATGAGCTCTTCACTACTAATAGTGATTGTCAATTTTTAAATGTATCACAGGCATGTAGAGTATATAATGACAATCAAAGTGCCATAAAATTAGCCCAAAATCAAATATTTCACAAGCGTACAAAACATATACATGTGAAATACCATTTCTTACGAGAAAAAGTTAGAGATGGTAGTGTTACTTTTCTATACATGTCAACTAATGACTTGGTAGCCGACTTACCTACAAAAGGTCTGGCTAGTGGTAAACTAAGCTTGCAGTGATTTAGCTGTAATTTAACTTAAAATGGGACTAAAATGTGGTATCTTATTGTACTCGCCTATGTAACGCAAATATTGAGGGAGAATGTTGGAATACAATACTTTGCGTGTTAGGATACATTTATTTGTATAAGTAATATGGAATACATATTGCGTTTAAGTCTCTTTATCTTTGCCTCTCAGTACCGTAGATATTTGATTCACTTGTTCTCTGTACTTGACTGTCGTGTGCGCGTCATGTAAAAATGTGTGTTGTAACTTCTGTATAATCAACGGCCGGTTATTTTGTACGTACTTATTTTATTGACAAACGTTGATACAAGTAACGAATTCCGCTTGTGCTTATCGCCCTGCAACACCATTCAGGTTCAGTAGTTGATGAATTACAGGACTGTTGAAGGACAGCTGTATCATTCGGTGTATGTAACTCAAAAGTTTCAACTATATCAGTTGGTTCCCCAAACTCTTGTAGATTTATGTTATCGTTCATATCTTCTTCGTCAGTCAAGGTATCCACATTTTTAGCCTAAATTTACAAGGAATAGCATGCTACAATAAATAAGAAAATCCAAACAATACTTACGACTTTCATTGTTATTGTCCTCATCGACCACGATCTCCTTCATAGTCGCCTCTAATTCCTTTTGAGTCAAATACCTCGGAAATGTCATATTTTACGAACTATAACGCTCACTGCACAAGGCACAAACTAATACTAAAGAACACGCTAATTGTTGGATGTTTATGCTACATACGTTGACTTGTCTAGACTTGCAATAACAAAGTTTTGTTCCACAGATAAAACCAGTGGTGCATTCACGGAGCAGTAAATATTTTCAAAAAATAAAGCATAATCAATATTGTATTTTCAATTTATGTTTTCTGTGATGTAATCTACATGCTATAAACTTATCAAAAACAGCAATACAAATCCAAAATATTTTTTTTACTATTGTGGATTTTCTTGAAAATGTGATACAAATTTATGTACCGCTTTTGTTAACTTCTGAATTCATATATAAGATCTTTCCTTCACATATAAATTAGCGATTTCTACGGTTTTATGTCCACTAGTAGTGATAATAATAAAATTTCTAAATGGATGTGCAAAAATATTTCCTGGACGTGACAAAAAAGTCATAGAATAGGTGGTGCACTAACGTACCACTAGGACAAAATGGGTTAACTATACCCATACCTCGAGTTTCTGTTTGATAAGTAAATGTCTTAAAGTAATATTTTATAGAAAATAAAAAGAAACGTTCACTTTTTTTCTCCCTTTTAATAATTTATTCAAATTTTTTGGAGTGGAGCAAAATACTCATGATCATGTCCTAGAAAATAGACCAACTTATTTATATTGAGTGTTTTCTAATCTCCTGGTAGCATTGGGTTTCTTGGCAGTTGCTAGGAGTACGCGTGTTCGATGGCGATTGTTGAGTTAGAAAAATAACCTGCTTAACCGAATTAGTTCTAACCAAACAAAGATTTACCATTATATTAAATGAACTTCTTCCAATAACACCCTGTATACAAGGCATTTCGCTGTAAAAAGTTTTGTTTTTGTGTATAAAGACTAGACCATACTCAAATTTCAAAAAATCCATCCACATATATTTGCGAAGCCGATGCTACACTAATTTGTTGACATTTGACACCAATGCATGCTGTTTAATCAAGTGATTGATTTTTTGCGGTATAGTAGGAGATAGACGATCTTATTACCTGTAATCCGGAGAAACGTAGTAATCATAAGACAGGTCCGGTTCGAAAGCATGATTCTCGTTCCCTACGGAATCCTTATCTATCGAAACGTCCCTATAGTTTCGCATCGCTTCTCTTAATGACGGAGAGTGATGCAGCAATTTCGGTTTGTACATTGGTTCCGTCACCATGAATTTCTTCGCCACCTGAAAACAACCAGCAGGAAATTAGGTTCACTTAAATATAGCGTTTGTTTTGTCTGAACGCTTAGAAGTTTAATATTATTTTTTCTATTCCCTTCTCAAAATACCCAAACGTATCTTTAAGAGCTCAGTTTCCTTGCTTATGGTCGCCAGACCCTTTGGAGATTTGGGGCACTTTAGTCGCGGGTACAAAAAGTATAACATGCAATACGTTGTTTCTAATAGTTTTAATAGAATATTGGCAAAACTGATTTTATAATAATAATTGTTAGAAGTTTACAACGAATCTTATAAATCTTGTGCTGTCAAGAATAAGTTCATTATTTTTACATACGGAGCTTATGAATGATTTCAGACAAAAAAATTAAGATATTTTCTCAAACCACTTGGTGAGTCGGGTTAAAGTTTCAAAGTTGAAAATAAGCTCCTCCAAAAATTACCCTCAGGGTTTGCAGATAAGGAGAGCACTCATGGAAAAACCATTAAACTTTAATTCTGTCATAGGCATGAACTTTTCTAGCGAAGAACTAAAAGAAGTAATAAATTGCCTCAAATCTACTTCCCCTGGTCCCTACAAAATCCATAACGAGTTTATCATCCACCTACCAGCCTCCCAGCAAGAAAACCTCCTAAAGATATTCAACAAAATATGATCTGTAGGTACCTACCCAGACAGCTGGAGAAGTGCGAACATTATACCCTTACTAAAAAAGGGAAAAAACCCAAAATTAGCCTCAAACTATCGGCCAATAGCACTGACCAGCTGTCTAAGTAAAATAATGGAAACAATGGTTAGCAACCGCCTTATGTGGTACATCGAATCAAATAACCTTCCAAGTATACATCAATCAGGCTTTAGGAAATGCAGATCCACTCTAGACCAAATAGTTCTCCTTAAAAATGCTATCCAAAACGCCTTCGCTCAAAGACAACACTTAGTCGCTGTATTTTTTGATATTGAAAAAGCCTTCGATATGACTTGGAGGTATGGAATCCTAAGAACTCTACATAACAGGGGACTACGAGGCCGACCCTCTACATTTGTAACCAGTTTCCGAGAATCCCGTAAGTTTAGAGTGAATATCGAAAAAAATTTCTCTAGGGAGTATGCACAAGAAAATGGCATCCCACAAGGCTCTACTCTAAGTGTTATTCTCTTTGCCATTGCGATCAACGAAATGACTTCGGTAATTGATTGTTCGATTGGTAATTGTGGACGACTTGACCATATTTTGTTCGGATAATTCTATGGACGTTATACAGGACAAACTCCAACGTGTTATCGAAACCCTAGAACTCCAGGCAGAAAACTTTGGTTTTAAATTTTCCGAAGCAAAAACAAAATGTGTTCACTTCTGCCGTCTTAGAAGCTGCCATGTTAACCCGGATTTGAAGGTTTTTGGCAAACCTATTGAATGTGGGCAATCAATAAAATACTTGGGACTAGTTTTTGACTAACACCTGCGCTGGAAAGAACACATATATGGAACCATAAATAAATATAAAAAGAGCCTAAACATTATTCAAGCAGTATCCAACCTGAATTGGGGAATGAATGCGGAAACTCTTTTGAACATTTATAAATCTCTCACCCTATCTAAAATAGACTACGGTAGTATCGGCTATGGCAGCGCACGCGAATCTTGCCTTAAGCAGCTGGATTCAATCCAGTCTAGAGGAATCCGATTGGCAATAGGTGCATTCCGAACTAGCCCATCTTCTTCATTATGTTGCGAATCTGGGATTCTCCCATTGAAATACAGACGACAACAGCTTCCCCCCAATTGAGAGACTGAAAATTCGTGCTCAGCCCAATCACCCAAATTATGAAATCTTCAACCCAGAAAAACAATTGATTGCTTACGAAAAAAGTCGCAGTATCACTAGACCTGCAGGAGTGCGATACATAGAAACCCTCGAAGAAATGGACATTAACATTCCGGAAATGTATCAAATATAACACTGCGAAATCCTACCGTGGACACTAAGAAAACCTGAAATACACCTAGATTGTCCAACCGCAAAAAGAGATGGAACAAACACACGATTGATCAAGGATATGATATCTTCATTTGAAAACATATACCCAAATAATATAACCATCTACACTGACCTTCCACAGCAACCATAACTCCTGGTCATGGACCCTGCATCCAGCGACAAGTATTAATTCTGCAGAACTTTACGCCATCTGGCAAGCACTAAGATATGCGGAAACATCTCCCAAACAAAATATTTTGATATTTTCGGACAGCCTCAGCTCCAACAAAAACATGGAAAATATTTATAGTATGAATCCTCTAACTCAAAACATCCTAGCAATAATAGATTGGCTCGGACAGCAAAACAAAAGCATCCATCTTGTCTGGATACCAAGTCACAGTGGTATAAGAGAAAATGACCTAGCAGACCTAACAGCAAAATTAGCGACCGCAGAACCTCCTGAAAATATCCCTATTAGCTGTTATGATCTGAGTACAAAAATGAAAGAAAAAATAATAGATGCCTGGCAATCTGATTGGAATCAAAGTGACGCAAAGTTAAAAGAAATACTTTCAAATGTTACTACAAGACAACAACCAAAATTCCTAACTAGGAGAGAACAGACTACGAATCGGCCATACAAATATTACTTCAATTTACCTCCTGCGAGGAACTCCACCCTTAACCTGTGATTACTGTCCTGGAATTAGGTTAACAGTGAAACACATTATGACCGGATGCCCTCACTGCTTAAGCCTCCGCCTAAAACTGAAAATGCCAAATAACTTAAGAAGATGTCTATCTGACAACCAAACTGAATCGGCATAAATACTTGAATTTATCAGACAAATTGGTATAGCTAACCGCATCTAAACCGGATTGCAACAACGACTATCACAAGCTAGTACTAAACCTAAGATCCAAGTTTCATAATTTAATCTATATCGATGTTACCCACCACCCCTATCTACTGAACCCTGAAATCCTGATAAATTACAAAGGAATCAGCTAATGGCCTAGAAGTCGATGCTGTAAAAAAAAAATAATAATATGTCTTTATTTCTCTATATCTATACTTTCTACAAATAACCGTTTTCTTTTACAAAATGAATGTATATATATATATATATATATATATATATATATATATATATATATATATATATATATATATATATATATATATATATATATATATATATATATATATATATATATATATATATATATATATATATATATATATTCTCACGTATTGATTCACGGATGGAAAAATGTGATGACACTATATTCCGGGATATCATCCGTTCGCTCGTTGAACTGTTTGGAATCCTGCAAATCCTGCATCCGACTGGAATCCTGCAGACGTTTCGCCAAAATCTCACTTGGCATCTTCAATGCTCGCGCTCCGAAAACACTTCGAACCAGTGTTTTCGGAGCGCGAGCATTGAAGATGCCAAGTGAGATTTTGGCGAAACGTCTGCAGGATTCCAGTCGGATGCAGGATTTGCAGGATTCCAGTCGGATGCAGGATTCCAGTCGGAGTTCAACGAGCGAACGGATGATATCCCGGAATATAGTGTCATCACATTTTTCCATCCGTGAATACGTGAATACGTGAGAATATATATATATATATATATATATATATATATATATATATATATATATATATATATATATATATATATATATATATATATATATATATATATATATATATATATATATATATATATATATATACGCAGAAATAGGCGAAATCCAGATATGGATAACATCAGTATTTAACCCAACGGATTGAGAAACAATAACTCTTTTTTTTATGGCAACAGCGATAGCACAATAACAGAACAAAAAATTTACTTCTTCTCACACTTATTATTGTATCCCATTTTGCTCACGTTTGTTAAACATAGACTGTGCTTTTTTTTAACTTCACTTTTCGAAAGAAACATCTGAAAGCATAAAATTTAAGTGTACTTGGAGTCAGGGCTTTGAAGTTATTATGGAGACTATTAAACAATTTAGCTATATTAAAAGCAAAACCACGCTCAAATAGTGTTGTTTTATGCACAATGCAGCAATCCAATTATTTGTAATTTAAAACGTTTCAAACATTTGAAGGATGCTATTGTTCTTCAATCGTCGCTATGCCTTCTACCAAAGCTTTAAGCTTAATCGTACACTAAGAGACTCTGTTTTGTAAAAAATATACATTTTTTCTAATAACAAAGAATTTTTTATTTGGTTTATTACACTACAATGAGACTGATTCACCATAAAGCGTGCAAACGGTTCTTTGTTGAATTAATGAAAAAATATTGCAAACAGAATCCGATATTTCAAATTGGTGGCAATTTTTAGTATCGTTTATATAATTTACAGTGTTCCGACTGAAAAATTCATATTCCATTTACCGGATGCTGCACTCCATATGGTTAAGGTAACATAAAATTTGAGAATATTTTATTTTAATATATTTCATGTTACTTATTTGACTCATGGTATCAATAGGGTGGCCGAAAGTATAAGAGGAATGTTTCCATTGGTAAATGATTGAATTAATATATTTTGTGCCGAGACCTTTGAATTAGTTAAAAAAGTTATCAAACATCGAAACAACTCATCATCTGCCGCCTAATAAATGCACAAACTTTTTTTCTAACCAAACAGTGAAAGAAAATTTAAAACTTATAAAAACAAATCATTCTTTTCTATATATAGCACTCACAAAATTGGATTGCAAAAAAGTTTCAGGAACTGTTGGGGCTTTGATTATAAAAAAAAATGTATATCAGTAATTGAAAATAACACTTCAAAATCTTAAAACATATTTCAGCAGTTTTTATACGCAATTTCACTAATTACTAAAGGGAACAGATTGTGTTTAAATTAAGAACACACATCATTCCAAAACTAAAATACTTTCCGATAACTTCTGTAAACGTTTTTTTTAAACATATGTTCAGAGATACCATTTTTTTGGGAAATTTTGAAAAACATTTAGTTATCAATTG